GGGCACGGCACGAGTCCACTCCTGCGTCCGCGCGGCGGCTCGGGCCCGGCCAGGCTGCCTCTGCGGACGGCCCAGATGGAAAAAACGAGAAAGAAAAGGAGAAAGGAACACGTCACATCTCTGGCCTTTTAAAAATAGCCGCAGGGTCAGACAAATGTAGCCGGGCGCTGCAGCCGAGCGGCCGGCGGGGGGCGGGGGGCCGGCTGGCTGCTCGGACCCGCCTGGGAGCAGCAACCTGCCCCTGTGGGTGCCCCAGCAGCCGCTCTCTGCGGAGGCACCCAAGGGGGCCACCTCGCCCTCGGGGAGCGCGTGGTGCTCTCGGGGGCCTGGTCCCCCCGAGACTCGCTCTGCTCAGACGCCGCACACGCCCGACTGCTGCCCCCGGACTCAGGCCTGGGGTGCAGCAGTGCCACTCTCCCCTGGGGGTGCAGCACGTCGCGTCTGCCACGTGTGGTGGCCAGTGCCCACCCCCCGGGCCCTGCAGAAATTAGAAGTGCGTGGGGGCCCCGACGCCCTGCAGACGGCTCAGCCTGGCACTGCGGGGCGCGGTCAGCCCCAGCCCCGGCAACCTGCCCCTTGTCCACTCTGGGGTCCCCATTTCCTCGGTGCCGTATGACCACATGGCTCACGTGCCGAAGGTGGGGGGCGGGGCGGGGCCCTCCCCCCGCACCTCGCTCTGGGGTCTCAAATGGCCTGGGGTAGGTCTCCCCACCCTCCCCGCTGCCCCTCACACCCTCTGTCCTCCCCGAAAGGCTGTGCTCTGGACTCCCCTGCTGCCCGTCTGGAGACGGGGCTCGGAGTCAGCACACGCTGCCCCACCCCGCCCGTGAAGGTCGGTGTCGCCCTCAAGTGGCCCTGTAACCCCTCCCGGTGTCACCCAGACTTACCGCCCAAAGGGCACGGTGGGCGCGGCAAACCCCCGCTGTCACCCCCACCAGGCCCAGGCCGGGGGGCGCCGGGGCAGCCCCTGGCCAAGGGTGTGGGGACGCCACGGGGCTCCAGGCCTCACCTGCAGGTGAGCAGCCAGGGAGGCACAGGTGGGAAACCTCACCCGGGCCGCGTCCACCTCACCTGGGCTGTGCACCTCACGTGGTCCGTCCACCTCACGTGGTCCGTCCACCTC